TTGACCCCTGTACATTTTCACGACGCAGTGCTTAAGTAATTAAACACAGACAACTTTACCTTTATTCCAATCAGACTTATGGCTCAGATCGGGGGGGGGGGAGTGTTGCAGGAATCCGAGTGGGGTTTTCGTTCAGAAAACCAGCGGTATTGGAAAACCTTGTGTACGTAGATAGGATGATAATATTAAAGCGTATAGTGGAGTGTTAGAGCGGGAAGGTGTCTGCAGTGGCTCTAGATAACTGGGTAGGCTTCTGCGAACATGGAAATAAAATTGTCGGCTTGTGCCGAGGTCAGAATATGGATCTATACATCCACTCCCCCATACGCCTTCATGGCATAGTGCTTAATTCGTGAAGGAAAAGGAAGTTCTTTTTGAAGAATGTCATCTTGTGGGATATGGCGCCGTGTGTATCTTGAGCGAACTGACGTTCCTCCGAAACGTCGGTTCACACAAGATCTACACGGCGCCACTTCCCAGAAGACGTCATTCTTCGTAGTCACCGCCTTGAAAACCTAAATGTTATTAAGTTCTTTCTGTATTTGGATCTTAAAATCCGGGATGGCCAGTTTCTTGTTTAACTTGTGCCCATGTATTGCTTATTTAACGACGCTGTCAGAGGCTCAGCCCATATTGTATAGAATGTTACTATTAGTTCATAGTGAAGGTGACACTAGGAAGTGGCGCTCCGTTTGTCTCGTGGGATGAGGCAAACCTTCGAGAAAAACTTCCTGAAACCCACCGGTTTCTGGTCGGACACCCCCCCCCCCCCTGAAAGTCCGAATATTGTTGCAAAGGCATTTTTCCCTTTGGCATATTTGTTTTTGTGTATTATCCCTTCTTCCCATAAATAACTATGAGACGAGAGCTCTGAAATTATGAAACTTCAGGTTGCCATAGCAACAAAAATGTGTAGCATAAACTCTTCACTTGGACTTAAAGCTATATAGTAGATCACGAACGTGCTAGTATAGTTTTTTTATTCATTGTATCGTCATCTGTGAGGACTGATAATAATCTAATGTAGTAAAGGCAAATATGTTCCTGTGCTTAACTGATTAAGCACCACTCCATGGAGACGTATGGGGAAGTAGATGTATAGATTCACGTTGTCTTGACCTCGGCCCCGACCCGCTTTACCTCCGGGGAACCCACGGTATCCATTGGATAGGAGGCTTGATAGGCCCAAGAACCGGTTTGGACGACACGGAGAAGAGAAAAATTTAACCTCTACCGGGGCTCGAACTCAGACCCCTCGGTCCAGTCTGTGGCCAGTCGCTATACCGACTGCACTATCCTGGCTCCCAGTGTCATGTAAAGTGAAGTATATCGTCACGTGTCACAGTGAGTATAGACGCGGGTTTGGATTGGTTAATGGATTGATTGGATACTTACAGGCCGTAACTACAAGTGATTATAAGAGCATTCCTGATTTACACAATTTACAGCCACTCCACACTAATCTCAGTCCTCTCTGTCTGTCTGCACTAGACCTCACGGATCTGTAGCACAGGAAGTAAATCACGCTCCCAGTATCACTATGCTACAGCACACAGAAAGTCTTCACAGGGTGACTTCTTGTACTCTTCTTCAACTGTGAACTTTCCGTGGTCATCTCTTAATGAGAACTGACTCGTCCCTGAACGGCACGAACTCTGTCACGGACATGCATCACAGGAAAATCATGTCACGTGACCACCCACCGCTGCATGACGTCACCGCGAGCACGGGAAACACAGCCTCTATTGTTGCGTGTTGGACCGTGTTTACAGAGTTTTTGCATGGCAACGCGTTGATCAAATCCGTTACAGTATTAAGCAGGCGGTTTACAGTTGACAATTTCTGCGTGCTATTCGTGGGAGGTGGAATTAATCGCCCGACTACACAGTTCAATAACAAGTATAAATGAAAGCTAATACGAGAGAATTCAGACGGAGGTAAATAATAAGAAACCTTACGTAACATGTAGAACTTCTCGTTGAGCTGTGAAAGAGTTTTAACACAGCAACATTCATCGTTTTTCATGTCACATAACCAGTTTTAAGTGACCCACATTCGTAAATAGTCTGTTTTGGAAACTTTTTTCCTTGTCAGAATGTTTATAACACGTCCCTGTGTAGCTACAAGGTCATTTCATCCCACTTTGGCTAGGTGCATTATTAGCATATCTTTACATGTGACGGCCTTCGGAACATTCGTTTGATACCCGAGAACAACACACCGATGTTCTCTGACAGTTTTCCATGCGGCCAGGATGGCATAAAATTACCGTGGTTTGTTAGCCAGAAGTAAACTTTAATCGTCGAAGTGTATTTCTGTTGTGCGAAAAGGTTTATTTTGGATTGTCAGAGCAGAACTTCTAACGGAATAGGTAATATCAGGAAATAAAGCTGGTTGGTCCCCGAGATCCAGCTTGGACTCACACAGAAAACTCCTTGCCTCTGTCGAAAGTCGAACCCCAATCGTTTGGTTCGCCCCTTGCGAGCTACAAGAGCCAGCGTCGTACTCGTACGCGCACTGAAGCACGCGTCGTAGGCGCCTGGGGTCTGGCATTTGAATATAACAAAAACAGTTTTTTTCTTATACAGGGTGATTCTAAATTATTGTCAGGGTTTTCGTGTCCTATAAACGGAAACTCTGACAATAATGTAGAATAACTCGGTGTATTGATAAGAAATACTCGCTCTTTGGTTCGTCATGTGGCTGCTTTCCTTGCCTATATTTTGGGCAGCCATACCTATGAACCCACAAAGACGTATGCGGGAGTGGAGGTATAACNACGGTGCCAAATCCCAGAAGACTGCTTTCTTCTTTATAACTCCATTATTCTTGACCTCGTCATTAGTTGGAGATAAGTGCTTAGATTCACGTTCCAGCCGTTCTACTCCCTGGGAATGAGCCCGCGGTATGCTTTGTATAGACGGTGGGGTAGGCCACGGATCTGGTATGGGCTCTGTGGAGTTGAGAAACATCTCTTGCCTTTGCCAGGAATCGAATCCCGGTCGACCAGCCCTTCGCTATACCGGTGTGGAGATATAGCTGTGCCATTCTTAGCCTCTGCATTAGATGGTTCACGCCCCGGCCGCTGTAGCCACAGAAGAACTTCTGGTATGAATTGCATAGGAAGCTGAATGTGAGGTTGTCGGGAATAGAGTCCCGATTTCTCGATCGTCGAGCCCGTAACAGATTCACTATACCGACTGAGCTATTCAGAATAATAAATTTAACTACACACCTTTAATGCACAAGGTTAGCAGCAATGATTTGCGTCGAACAACTTGGTCGAGTGATTGGCACCCCTGCCATTTCGGATTTGAGGACTTCCGTGACATAGCGGTTTGTGTCAGTTCTTACAGACAAATGCCTGAACAGTGTGTCCCAATTAAACATTGCGTAATTTGTTACTCGAGCCAGTAAGCTAGCTGGAGAAGTTACATAATCTTTCCCCCCCCCCCGTACCAGCCATCCACAGAGAGACCCTCATTCGCCTTCTAACCCCACAAAGCCCAGTGGACATTATATGCACCGCGTGCTGTGACGTTTTTGTATGATTCTCATAGTAAACGATGTTTATTTCCCTAAACGGCATTAACCGGTTATTTGTAATGGAGACTGCAGCAGTGGGGGAACTTGAATGTGTAAAAGGGGTAAGGGTAGAAGATGCAGATACAAAAGAAATTCTTTTCTGTTGAATTTCAGTTGGAATTTCCTGTCGAATATATGCACATTCTGACAAATCTGTAACTGTCGCTGTTCTCAACTACAGACTTAAGGTTCGCTATACGAACAGAAAAATATCTCCCTTTATTTCCAGTATGACTGGCCACACAGACTTCCGTACGCTACATACGCTATGTGCCCTATGTTAGCTGCGTCGCAGAGTGTACACAGCGTACGTAGCGTACGTAGCGTAGTGGTCTGTGTGGCCGAACCTTAGTTTGTTGTTTCAGCCTCCAGTTTTATGTTGTGATTTATGTTCCACGTTTTCGCCTTAATTGCTTTCAGGGCATTTAATAGTACGAAGGAAATGCTTTCGGAAGTAAGGGGAAGTAGAATTGGGGTGCACACGCCACATCTGAGAGCACAATTTTAAATTCAGAAATAAGCAGCCACAGAAAATCGCGCCATTAGAGAGCGTGGCGTTCCCATCTCAAACAGAAGTAAAAAATTTCTTTCAATTGTGTTACTAACTCTATGGAGCTTAGTTATTCTTGGGAAACCTCCAGTCTCAGCTACTGAAGAATTTCTTAGCATTTTATAGAACCCGAAGGTTCATTACCCTATCCATATCCTTAAACGTGCATTTTAATGTCCTGCTACCCCCCCCCCTCTTATAACTCTTCGTATTGGTCCCTGTCTCTTTGGCTTTCCCATCAGAACCCTTCATGAAATTCTCTCCCATGCATGCTACATGCCCTGCCTGTCTCACTTGTGTGTAAAACCTTTAATGAAAACGCGTTCCTACTTATATTTTTTTTTTTTTGTGAAAATAATATTTTATTATCAAAATGAAATTATCTTTTTAAAATAAATAACAGGAACGGAGTTTTAGTAGCTATTATTAGTCACTGCCTGTGTTTTACATTGCCGTATATAAAAGGACTGTCAGGGCTGTGTCCTGGAAAGTTCCCTGGGAGCCCTGATGATGGTAGTAATCAGACTTGTATGTGAGAGGGACCGTCAAGAGGAGGTTTGACTTTGCGAGAGCGTAGCCCAGTGTTCAGTGCGGGGCCCAAGGGCACTCAGAAATGTGGTGGGCTATGGATGAATGTCGGTCAAGAAAACCGAGATTAACTGCTGTAGAAATCCGTTACGCTGACCACGCAACGCACTCTATCCGCAAAAGTTGGCACTAACTTTGCCGACAAGCGGCGGTCGCTCGGTCGGTATAGTTCGCTTGTGGACTAAAGGCCACTGAGGATGGATGTATGTATAGCCTGTGAAGTGTAAGTGAAGGTTAAATACCGCTTGGAGTGACCTCATTGTCTGTTTTGTTTCAGAGTAACAAACCAATCATGGAGAAGCGGCGCCGTGCCCGTATCAACAATTGCCTCAACGAACTGAAGACGCTGATATTGGACGCCATGAAAAAAGACGTAAGTACAAGTTAAAGAACTTGTTAGTCGGGTCTCCACGCGGTAGCGTAGTTAGTTGAGGCACAATGCTACAAGCCGGAATGTCACGGCTTCGATTTCCGACGAGGTCTGTGAATTTTTTCAGTTTACCTAATATTTTCAGCCGTACTATGACCCTGGGGTCAATTCAGCCGCCAACAGAAATGAGTACCATGAATCTTCCTGGGGTTAAAGAGCGGCCAGCATGTAAGGCTGACAATCTGACCGCCATCTGTGAGCCGATTGTCTAGAGAAAATGTAGGAGTCTCGACGTCTCACAACCCTATGGGCCTCCACGGCTTCTTAGAGGGACAGCTTTACATTTTTACCCAAGTCCTGTGTCCATATCTTTATTCTGAAGTACAGAATGTGGGGTGCTAAGTCTGGTGATAAGAACGTGTTTCAGGGGTGCACATTTGGATGGAAGGACATCACTGAGTCGTGTTCCTTTTGATCAGTGTCCTGTCAGCTTGTAGAACTGAAGTTCAGAACACGTGACCACTGTCTTCTGGGATGTGACGCCGTGTAGTCCAGTAGAAATTCGCCTGCTTTCCCCCAACGCTGGTGAATATCTTTCAGACTGCACGGCGTCACGTCCCAGAAAATTTGTGCTGTTCATAATCACTGCTGTGTGAACCTCAGGCATATAAAATTTATGGTTGACATTCTGAACACGCTGACACCTGTGACATACCTGTAAACATTCTGTTACTAGCCCCAGGTCTCAGTCTGCAGTATGGGTTCTGCAGTACCGTGCTGCTCCACACTCTCAATTCTTGAACTGAATGCAGCTTTATCAAATTAAGTAAACGTAGTTTACTCATATAAGTCGCATATAAGACAAAAACAATATAAAACATTTGTTGAAAATTAATGATGACAAAAATGATATGTATAATCTTAGTGGGGTTTACCAACTGCAATGTACTGACTGTCCATTAAAATATATAGGACAGACCGGACGTACCTTTAAGGTCAGATTCAGAGAACACATACAAGACATAAAAAATAACGGACAAAGTTCCAAATTTGCTCAACATGTATTGGACACCACACATGAATATAGTATGATAGCCAAAACGTTAGAAGTTCTATATATCGGCAAGAAAGGCGGAACATTGGATACATATGAAAGATTTCACATTTACGAAATCAGCAGACTAAATTTGGAACTGAATAATAATTTTACCGAAATGTTTAAGCCTATATATGATGTAATAATTGATACATACAAAACAGAATATACAGTTATACCCCCTTCCACCACTTCCGCATACACCTTATCTCTACCTCCCCCCCTTCCCTTGCATTGACTTTAATCTTACGTCACCAAATCAGTCGTTTACATTCCCTACAGTAAGGACAGTACTTTGTAAGATGAAGCACCGACTAAATAGTAAGTAAATAATACACTATATCTTCAATACCAAAATCAATTGTTGATTATAACAAAATTTAATACTATTACTTTCATATCATTTTCAGATTAACATTAATATTACTGCATCTGCATCACGAGCCTCCAATAACAGTTTTTATACACAAAATATAGAATACTCCAATTCGTCCGTTTGAACGCAACAAAATTACAAAAACCAACCACTGACTCGATAATATAAAGCATCAATCGAAGAATTTTATTCTTGTGTTATACTATAACCTTTGTTTTATATAATCTAATTTATTGTATTTTTACGTCAAGTATTTTATATAATTAATATTATTGTATCCAATTTTACTAGTACTGCAGTTCAGTGGTATATATGTTAGCCATGTATTTGCGTGATGATGGCTATTAATAGCCGAAACATATAGCAGAGCCAGAATCAGGCACTGACCTCGGTATAGTTGTGTTGTGACAGTTTTAATAAAGAGGTAAACGTAGTTTAATTCATGCATAAAATTCAGTGGAAAATGTTACCCTCTCATAGCTGGAATAATAACCACACGTGACCCTACACAGGGTTACGTTACCCGTACCCTACCCTACATTCACTCCTACACAGTCTTTCCTTGAGGGACACTCCGAAAGCATGATTTTACTGAATCTGCATAAAAGATAAAGCTGAACCTGTAACAGGCCGTGGAGGCCCATAGGGTAGTGAAACATGGAAGCGCCCATATTCTCTACAATCGGCTCACAGATGGTGAGGCTGTGATCCTTATTCGCTGACCGGCCGCCCCTTACCCCAGGAAGATTCCTGCTACTCATTTCTATTAGAGGCTGGGTTGACCCCAGGGCAATAGTGCGGATGCAAGAACTAGGTCAATTGAGAAATTCAATAGCATCATCGAGACTCGAACCCGCGACCTATCGGCTTGTAGCACAGTGCCTCAACCAACTGCGCTACCGCGTTGCCAGTTAACGTACATATGAATTGACAAGTTGGCTTGATAGAATTAGTGTTACAGTAACACTAGCTCGCAGCTGCGGTTCGAGAACTGTTCGAATCGGGAGCGCCCATGTGAATTCAAGAGACCAAGGTATGGGGGCGCACAGAGTTTTTAGATCAGATTATCTTGCCTGAGATAGGTTACCTGAGCATAATGGCTGGTTATGAGCTGGATTTTGATACCGAAATGGTGGGATTTTTCTGTTTGGAAACACTAGGGACGACACAACCTCTTTACGGGATGTGTAAGAGGGTGTTTACTGCCTGGTACTGGCATAAAACTACCCCACCGTCTTTCGGCATGGTCGCCGTAACAGATCCCGTGTTACTCCTAATTCAAGATGCATCCAGTTTTTGGATGTGGGTTTTAGGGGTAAGAGCTGGAAAGGTGCACATTTCCTCGAGACGAACCTCAAGTTCTCAACAGGGGAGACAGTAAAATGTGCGTCTTATATTCGCAGTAATTTAATGTCTTGGGTCGGTATAGTGACAGGCTACGAGCTTGACGGCCCGGGTTCGCTTCTCGGCAGTGCAGCAAGATCTTTTCTTCCTCACAACGTCCAGGCCAACTCTGGGGCCCTCTCAGCTTCCTATCCAGTGGGTACCAGGGGCGCTTAAGCTTGGGTTTCCTCGGGTAGCGGTACCGTAATCAAGCGGCCGTAATATGACCGTGAATGACGTCACTAAAACGTTGCCATGGAAACAAAGGAACATGGCAACGTTTTAGTGACGTCATTCACCGTCATATTACGGCCGCCTGATTACGGTACCGCAACCCGAGGAAACCCAAGCTTTACGCTGGGGGTAAAGTGGCGGGGTCATGCAGCTGACCAGTTCACGTCCATCTAGTGCCGAAGTCAAGAAAGGCCGAGCTATACCTCCATGGCATATTCTTTACTAAAGAAGCACTAGAACAACTTTACCTTAGACATAAATCAGAGGGAAATATTGTCTGCTGTGACTAACACATTCTTCGTGAGGCATCTTACCTTGCGGAAGAGATCTCATGATTTTCTAATGATGTGAATATCCATGTCATCTGAATATGGTGGACCGTTAAAAACGTTTTACATTGTTATGAGAAGGGCTGCAGGATATTGGTATATTCAAAAGTCAACTACAAAAATTTACTTAAGGTAAAAAGGTAAAGCTATCCCTGTAACAAGGCCGCGGAGGTCCATGGAGTTGTGAGACGTCGAGGTTCCCACATTTCTAGACAGTCGGCTCACAGATGGCGGTGAGGTCAGCCCTACGCGCCGGCCGTACAGTTATCCCCAGGAAGTTTCCAGTTACTCATTTCTGTTAGAGGCTGTGTCGACCCCAGGTCCAGAATATGGCTGGAAGGATTAGGTCAATGGAAAAATCCAGTGACCTCATCGGGAATCGAACCTGCGACCTTCCCGCTTGTAGCGTAGTGCCCCAACCAACTGCGCTACCACATGTCCCCTACAGGAAGCTAAGTATTGCGCTGATATATCAATCATAAGAAGGTGGACCCCAACGCCCCTCAGTTCCCCCTTCTTGTGGGTTTACCAGTTACAGGTGCGTCGAATGTTTTTACTTAGCACAAGATAAAACAAAAAACAAACTCTGTGGCTTGAGTCCGCAAGCGAACTATACTGATCGAGCGACCGCCGCATGTCGGCGAAGTTAGTGCGTACTTTAAACGATAGAGTGTGTCGCTTGGTCAGCGCAACGAATCCCCACGGTCGCTAATTTCTTTTCTAGACCGGAGACGCTATTTCCTTGAAATAGCTCCTTAATTATCCTCACGAGGGTGAGTGGACCGCATTCCAGGCCCACTACTTCTCAGAAAATCTGGTAGCGCCGGGAATCGAATACGGGACATCTGGATCTGCAGTCAGGAACTAAATGGCACTAACTTCGCCGACAAGCGGCGGTGTGCATGGTTTGCTTGCGGACTAGAACCATTGAGTTTGTTTGTTTGTTTGTTTCTTTCTTTCTTTCTTTCTTTCTTTCTTTCTTTCTTTCTTTCTTTCTTTGTGAGTAACTCAGTGCCGAGGACTTGTGAAAAATTTCTGTATCATGGTTTTGCTGCGAAATTATGTGACTGCAAGTATCTCAAGTTAAAGGAAGGCAAGAACTCTTGGGGGAATTCAGTCGCATGTCATGAGGGTTTTGGAGTGTGTGACATACATTATTGTGTTCTGTTTCTCTTAGCCGGCGAGGCATACCAAGCTGGAGAAGGCCGACATCTTGGAGATGACAGTGAAGCACCTGGAGAACTTGCAGCGCCAGCAGGTTGCAATGTCTGCAGCTACAGACCCTGGCGTGCTGAACAAGTTCCGGGCAGGGTTCAGTGAGTGTGCTGGCGAGGTTGGCCGCTTCCCTGGACTTGAGTCCCCTGTACGAAGGCGCCTTCTTCAGCACCTAGCGAACTGCCTGAATGGTACCACAACCACCACGACAACTGCTACCAGCACCACATCGGGCACAACCACACCACAGCCCACTCCTCCAGATCCGGCACCAGTGCCATCACAGCATCAGACTTCCGTCCAAGTTCACATTCTCCCCACATCGACTACCACCCCCACAGTTGACACCCACCAAGCACCCACAGCTCTTTCATCATCTTCAAATGGAATTTTCTTTACAACGGGTCCCAATGGTGGAGGACTGCAGTTGGTCCCAACCCGTCTTCCTAACGGTGATATTGCCCTTGTGTTACCATCCACTGGCTCAGGTACAGCCCAGATTTTCCGACAAGCCGCTACAATCACCACTGCTTCACCAGCTTCATCACCAGCACCATCCTCTTCATCGTCATCTTCTTCACCGCTTCCTATGCTTATCCCAATTCCTACGCGCACATCCTCGACAGCTTCTGCATCTTCATCCACATCTTCGTCATGCGCGTCAACTTCTCCAATAGCGTTTGATAGGCTGACTGTGAGCAGTCCGTCGCAGACGAATCCTGTGGTGAACCCACCAGTGTGCAGAGACATGGCGACGTCACCCACAGCATACCACTTGCCGGTCAGCCCCGCAGCTGGTCACCGTAGTAATGGCGGTTACAGTGTGGTGGACCAACATCCACCCCTCAGGCCATATAGCCCTCCACTGCAGAAACCATTAGCTTTGGTTGTGAAGAAAGAGGTTGTTCCAGAAGTTGCCAGTGTGGAGGAGAAACCGTGGCGGCCATGGTGATGCAATGTACATAAACTGCTGTAAGACGTGAAGTTCCTCATACCTGAATAACAATATATCTGNGCTCTGTCTATTGGACCCAACTGAGTAGGTTTTACCTGAAGACGGGGACAGAATCCAGTTCCCGAAACGTTGTGTTTTTAATAGAAATTAGACTGTTTTTTAGAATAGACAAGATGATGGATAATGTCCAGCAAAATATTAATTGTAATATATGTGCAGGATGAGATGTTGCAGTGTAAAATTAGTGATAACAGTGAGACATAGAAGATAGGCACATTCGTGTTCCTTGAAACTTGATGGCTTTATTGTGAAATGTGAGAGAATTCTGCGTGAAACAGTAGTCTTCAGTAAGTGTTTCATCTGGGAAAGGAATAAGCGTTGTCACATCAGTGTAGATTGTGAATGTAAATTTTAATTTGTACCTCAAACAGTTGAAGGAATATCCGAGAACAGTTGAGTGCTTTCCCGTTTCAAGTCTGTATATTCATTTTTTTTAATGATAAAGTTTGAAATTATTACATATTATTTATTGTAGATAATTATTAATACCCTATTTCCTTCACTGTATAATGGACATCCTGATTTTGAAAGGTTAAAATATATAGAACATTCTTTTCATGCTCCATTTGTACAATACTTATAGAATATTATATAAATACAGTGAACAACTACTGCTGATATGTGAAACACTTGGAAATCTTATATTCTCAAATTTTCTTCCAGATTTTATGGATAGATTTTTCTTTCCTTCGCAGACTGTTGGTCACTTGATCATGTGATGTTCTGGTCTGCTTTTGCATGAATGTTTGTGACATGTCTTAGCAAATGGAATTGTTTTCACATAGCCACACGACTGATCAGTAGTTGAATTTCATGTACCTTATCTCTTGAATGTATCCCGTATATAGTGAGCTTATATATGCATTTTGTAGTAGCAGACATTGAATAATTTTGTAAATTCACAGTATTGATTTTATTTTTTTAAAATAAATCTTATCTTTTTGCTATTTCCACACTGATCTAAAGCCTTATGTCTTTATTATACCAGAAATCAATGATTGGTGTTTTTCTATTGAAAGTTGACTTCTCTTCAACTGAATTATAACCACCATTTCTTTTTGATCTGTTTCTAAAATATTCATGTACAACAGAAGTCTAAAATGAAGATAGATGGGCTGTCAATGCAATACTCATTTTTTAGACAAATAATTTTTACATGGATGATAAACTGTCATTGTTTTCATTGTTACAGAAAATATCGTCTCTTCTGGAATATGATGCTGTGTAGTTTTGTAGATGTGTACCATTGTTTCAGAGGAAATACTGGCACCATCTTGAGAGTAGTACCCTGAAGATCTAGGCAATAAGCACTGCAGCATCACATTCCAGAAGACAAAATCTTCATAGTCACTGCCGTGAGAACTCACTGTATGCTAAATTGCATAAATTACAGGAACGGCCTGCATGTTCTTAAACTGAACACCTTGACACGCAACGCAACTTTTTTCTTGTAGCAGTTTAAACTGCATTTTCCCTTTCTCCCTGACGTAAATGTGCCTGCATTGTTATTGTTGCCGAGTCACTACAGGTAATTATCCCCGGCATTCCATCATCTGAACCATCAAAGCCCTGATGGAGTCCTTTGTTACCATAGTAACATTGTCATTATTGTAGTCATTAAGCCCTGATTTGCCTTAGGTACAGCTCTGCCTTCACAATTGAGCATTGGTCCATTGTAGTGTGTTTTCTCTTCAAAACTTGGCGTGTTTTATTGTGCCAACAAGAAATTGTGTGCAGAGGATTATAAAACTTTTCATTTGATGTGGAGAATTTTCAGAAAGCATTCCAGTTTTTGGTAGGGGGAGAGAATGTGATTTTTCTTTTGAAAGAATACAATCGTATTTGAATTGCACCAAATTCGAAGGATTTCCCAAAGCAAACAAGTCTTATTCCTTGTATGGTATTAATTTGTGGATATCTGGATTTATATATTCTTATTTGTGAGGCGAGAATATGTGGAGCTTTACTTTCATGTCTCCTATATGCCTTGTGATGTACTTGTCACTGAATTTAAAGAATTTACAAATAAATGAAATTAATTAGATAAGCGTTTTGTCTTTGCTTTTATGAATGATCTCTGGTGGTAATACACATGTACGCCCCACTTTCAGTGTTCTGATTCCTCAGATGGGTCTTACAATATGCACACACTACTTACAAGTGCATTTTTAAAATACGTACTGTTCCAAACAACATCAAAATGGAAGGCGTTATTTTGTCCTCAGGGTTGCAGCATATTAACTTGGAAGAACATAAGGATTGATAATAATAATAATGGAAGTTACTAAACTGTATTTTTTCCAAAGTGGATAATTTTCAGTCCAGTGTGACATACAAGTTTACAACACTTAAGTCTTTATTCACCTTACATGTTTCGATTCAAAAGAATCATTCTCAGAGGTGCATGTTCCATATTCTAGACCTGTTACGTACACCCAAACAGCAGTCATATGTATATTGTCCACATGTTTGGAGGAACTGTGTTTGTTCATTGTTTTATGTTATCAGGCCATCAATTGAACTAAAAAGTAATATTGTTCTTAGGTTTTCAGGCTGGAGTTTAATGTATGACTTAAGCCTTCAGGAATGATGGGTCACTAAATCATTTTTGTTGCCACGTGATTGCTTTGAAAACCCCTTCCATTACCAATTGTCCTAAGCAAGGATTGCTGAAATATAATTAATTGCCACCTTTCAGGGCCATTGATTGTCCAAACATTTTCCATCACATCTTTTCAGTAACAAGATGGTCACTCCTCTTTATGTCCACATGACCATCAAAACAAATTTCTGTGCTTCTTCAGGTACTAAATGATAACTCTTTAACAGCACCACACTCGTCTGTTTTGTTCAATCAAGTCTTATCCAGCTCACCACCTTTCAAACCCCACCCACAACACATTAACCCTGAAGATGGCAACTGGAAAGTTCACCAGAATATTAGAAAACCGTTAACATTCTGCATAGTATGTTTCTTGAAAGCTAAAGTCATGCATTAAATAATATTTCCTTTTTGTTTCGTTTTGTACTCAGTAATACATTAAGGGGAAATTTAAATTCTTTCTCACTGCGCCCATTAGTTCTTTCACTTATCTTTCAACTGTTAGAAGATTGTTTACGGAATGATCTTTGTTTTCTATTGTGTATATGATCCATGAATTTCAGTGTTATAAAATAAGAGAGTATATAAATCATATATATATTTCCTAATTAATAAGCAATATTTTGTAATATCTGGGAAGAAACCTGACTGATTTATTATACAATATTTCTTCCAAGTTTTTTTTTGTTGTGAATATTAATTTGATGAAACTTAAATTATAAGAATGTTACTTTAAAGCTCACGATTACATAATTTACACATTTGTATATAGTGATAGTTAAGTTTAAAGAGGTGTACCAATCTGTGTGCCTTAATGCAACACAATCACTTTGTCTTCCAATGTTGTTGCGAGGTGTTCATACATGTTACAACTGTGAGAAAATAAAATGAAGCTATTTATATAAGAAATGCATACATGTTCTTACTCGCCCTACAGACATGTGCCCATTTTAATAATATCGCCGTATACCTATTGACCTGGATTGGGCCAAAACTTACATATTCTTGAAACCTCACCCTTCTCTCATTGATTCCTGAAGTTGGATGCAACGTTTACCACCAAAATGCAAATGCAAAACTGGCCACTTCTGAGTTTTGCAGCGACCCAAGAACAGAATGTTCTTTCATACTGATGAAAACTATTATAATCAAGATAAAGGTATAAAGACGAAACTGCACGGTGTCACATGCCAGAAGAGTTTAATTTTGTTACAGCTGTAAAAACAGGGGCACGCGGTAGCGTAGTTGGTTGAGGCACTATGCTACAAGCCGGAAGGTCGCGGGTTCAAGTCCCGATGAGATCATTGAATTTTTCAATTGACTTAATCCTTCCAGCCGCACTATGGTCCCGGTTTCGACTCAGCCTCTAACAGAAATGAGTACCAGGAATATTCTTGGGGGTAAAGGGCGGCCAGCGCGTAGGGCTGACAACATCACCGCCAACTATGAGCCGGTTGTCTAGAAAATGTGGGAGCCTCAACATCTCACAACCCTATGGGCCTCCACGGCCTGTTACAGGGATAGCTTTACTTTACTTTACTTTACTTTACTTTAGAGCTGTGAAAACCTGAAATCTGTCGAGAGAAAAACTTAAGTGAAAAAAGTACTACCCTATGGGTTATAACCCCGTGTTGTGTGGTGAAAGTTTACTGACGTTTCGGAGCAAGTGTAGTCCTCCTAGAAGGTAGTACTTAAAAATTTACATAGGTATATTATTAATAATACCGAATGTTATAATTTGAAGTATGCATAGTGATAAAAGTTACATTTTAAGTAAGCCAGATTTGAATTAGGGGATGGACTTTCATGGTTCCTCTATTCGTGGGTTGAATTCCAAAACTGTGTCTTAAAATAGACCAGAATCACATTTTCAACCAAACTTTCCAACCTACCGATTATGTCATTAAACATTACAATCCAAGTGACTGATGTAGCATTAAACAATAACTGAATTAGCTATCAAATGTCTTCTAGTATATTCACAGAGTCTTGGGAAGCTGCTAGTCGCCCAGGTGGTCAAGGAATTCCGTACTTCTTATGAAATCCCAAGGTTCCTGTTGTGCTTACAAACAGCCTTATGCTGAACCATACATTAAGCCACTTAAATGTGGTCCAAATCAGTTTCTTTATATCTCAGTATTAGCCTCATGTAATTTAACCCATATTCGGACCGGGCACTTTCCCCATACAAGTCAAGAGTCTTGGGAAGCTGCTAGTCGTACAGGTGGGCAAGGAATTCCGTACTTCTACCAGTATCGAAAATACGAGTATATAGCGTCGGATGGTAAGTGAATAATAAATTAGAAAGGATTGGGAAGGGAATGGTCATGGCATAATCGACGAACTACACCAGTATTCAGCTGGATACACTAATAAAAACTACAAAAAAAA